AGAAACACTGTACAAGCGGGGTAACAATGAAAAGCGATGAAACATTAAAAAAGAGAGACAAAGAAGATTCGATTCTTCAATTATCAAGGCAAGTTGTGAAACGTCAACTAATCGTTACGGGCTTTATCAATGACCTTTCTTTAAAGTCGCTTTTCAATTCGGTATCGCTCTCACGCCTGCGTTACTTAAAGTGACAATACCGGACATTTTCCACAATAACAACCTCAAAAAATACGAATTGGCTTTTACATTCCATTGTAGAAATGGAATATAAAATTGCATCTATCATACTTACAAAACATGGAACATTCCACGAAGTGAACACTGCACCAATAATACGTCTGACGCTTTACTAAAGCAACGAGGGGAAATGTCGTAATTCACAATGTCGCTGTGCCTGGATGAAGAAAAATACCACGTGGTAATGTTCTACTTTGCACGAATGAGCCTACGATTTAAAGACACCATGTCTTTGCAATTTGACCGGTGAAGCATTGCAGAGTGCAAACCACTTTAATGTGTAGCCTGTAACTTCTTCCGAATTGTCTCAGTAATCATAAACACTCTAGGAAGCTCAAGTGCCATCGCACGGCACGCCGAAGGGGAAATATGGATCAACAACACCCAACAGCTTTTACGCTCGCTTGTAATAATGGACAGGGTGCATCAAGTACTGACTTTAGGTCAAGGTAACCTCATTGTGACCCAGTGCAAGTGTGTTTTCCATTACCCACCGATGTTTACAGTTTTGTCAATCCAATCAATCAATCCACCTCATCACATCGTGCCGGTCATGGGGCTTGTTCGGCCCTTTTCCTTCCGCTGGTGAGTTTGGGAATTCGAACTCACGTGGCCAGGTTCACAACGCAGCATGCTAACCACAGTGCCACCGCTTTTCCTCTGCAATTGATGGGCTTGACGAATGAGCGATGTGGATCTGCAGGGGCTGTCCCATTGACGACCACATGCCATTGTGCTCTCTCACTTTCTCTCACATCTCTCGAATTTTCATGAACACAGAAAACGTTGGACAGTGTTTTTTTGTTCATCAAAGATTCGCAATTCCTAAAGTCATACGCATTTATAAAGGGCGTTCTCTTTCATCCGGATTTAATTGAATCTCATTTTTTTTTTGTAATGAGCATCACTGCCATAAAGTATGCACGTAAGCAATGGCTGTCCACAGCGCAAGTGTCGGGTTTTTAAGGTCGGTTTTATTTCGAGTATAGCGACAGTACATGGGTAAGATCCTCCTCGCTCACACGTTCCTGCCGTCACCGCCACCTCCATCCAGCATCGCGCGGCGGCTCTGCGGAGCGACCCACGCGTCCCTCCCTCCTCCCACGTGCCCAGCGGCACTGCGACGCCGCCACCTCACGTGGTGTCCACGCGGTCGCACTGATTGTCACACTCAGAGCTGCCAGACTGAAACCACAATTTCATTAAGAGCAACAACAAGAAATATAACAACTCTACTACATTATAGCAGGCAAAATGCAACACGTTAAGTGTCGACAAAATTAAACACAAATGAGAAACGTAAATTCTTATAAAGCAAGCAGTTATTTGTAATTACCAATTCGGAAGCTTAATTTGCATGTGCTCACTGTAAAGTGTAACATGCAATGTGGCTCGTGATTTTCCATATTCCAAAGGAGTCATAACCTTGAACCGGTCAGACAAAAGAATAACGACTACACGACACGCCGATGTACCCAGCCTCCCTTACAAATGCAACATGACGCTCACAACAAAGCAATAATTTATACGCAGTAACAGAATGTACAATAATGAGTGTTCAGACGAAGTGTCTAACAGAGCTGTAAATTCCAGTTTAAGTGTGTAACTTTTATCACCGCATTCATTTCTTTTCATTTGAATGAAGGCATCAGTGACACTGGGAAGGTTTTCGCGGTTGTGTGCTGTAATCCTCCGCACGTGTTGTCCTGCACCTTTGTCCGACGTTTCGCGCTGACATCGTGCTCCAACAACAACGCGGGTACGACCCCGGAAACACACCCGTGGGGCTAAAGGAAGGGTTAACTCCAACGGTTAAGTGCATTCGTTTGTGGAGGTCTTCCCAGATTGTGTAATACCCCATCGTCCACGCATGCGTTCAAAGCATTGACAATAAGAGCCAAAGGCACTGACGTCATCCAACAATACCAACACACACCCAGCGTGGCGTCACGACGAATCGTCACGTGGTGTGACATCATGGGAGGATTCTCGCGAGACCATTACCCGGTCACTTGGCATGCAACGATGCATCAACAACAACAACAACATCCGATTCGTACAATTAAACCAAGCGTTAGGAATCAATTACATACGTGTTATGCTAATTAAATTCCGGTATACCTGTAAAGTCAGCACACTTGTCATTGACACTGCCTTAAAAGGAAAAATATATATCCGAGTCGACGTTATGGGCAATGGGCCCTCTCTTCATAGGACGTAGAAATAAAGAAAAGAACAAGTACACACCAGACAACATGAAAGCGATGGCACAAGCAAGACGAAACATTGTTGATTCGTGACTGGAATCGCGACGAAGGAATCGCTGGCACAAGGACACATCTGTAATGTGCAGATATTATGTCCAGCGAGGACTGACATCACAGCCCCTAATGTTACAACACGGGGACAGGGACGGCCTCAGACTCGCTGCAGCAACTGGCGCCCGAAGGCGAACCGTGCGATCTGCACCCCATCCCTCGAACCCCCAAGGGCAAGATCTAGGCTGAGGTTTGCTGGTAAACTGAGAAACATTTGTCCTCAATTTTTCCGTTAAATGTTTTTTAAGTGTATATATTTTTTTTTTTTAACAGAGGCATAATGATCATTCGGTTTGTCCGTCTGTCCGACCAACACGTTCTCAGAAATGCATTATAATTCATATTCCCTCAGTACGCGCACGTGAATTTAAATAATGTCATCTTCGTTATTTTATTTGTATTTTTTCCTCGAATTTGCGCCCCCCACTTAACTTGGCGTCCGAGGCGACCCGCCTAGTTCACCTATACGGACGGGCCTGCCTCTGCATATATGATATTTCTGCCTACCCCGATGAAGCGGTATTACTTTGCAATCGATTGCGGTAGACTCACTTATTCGCACAGTCGGGGCGAAATAAATGTGTTGAGCGGAGGTAATTTGTTGCTGGAGGTTGGGAATGAAGGTTAAGTCGTCACCGTAGAAACGCGTAGAGAGCCACATCATGATGATGGGTGTTGTCAAATCGTTTCTCAGACCGATTCTCTTTCAACGACAAGAAGCGAATGTTGCTCGCTATACCCCAAGTAAAACGTGACAGCCGGCAAGAAAGTCCGCGATCAGTATCAGACACAACTTACAAAAGCAGACAAAAGTGTAAGCACACTTAAACACTTCACATCATATTGAGCGGTAAAAAAAATGAAAACTTGTTTCCGTTCCCATTGACTACCGAACCAAGACCCAAAGCTCCTCGTATATATATAAAAAATAGCGTAATCATGCAAATGCTTTATCGACAGTAAAAAATCCTTTAAAAAACTACGGTTATCGGCTAGATACACTACAATGTTGCACATCTGGCCATGCAAGCTGTAGGCATTTTAATCGTTTAATGTCAACACTTTACTCTGAATTGTGGAAACAAAGTTCATCGTAACTTTTATATGAGATCCCCTCTTTAGAGCTTGGCTTTTGTAAAAGTGGCTGTACAAAGGTAACTATTGTGCATATATCCACCATGGTGCTGTACAACCTTCCGATGCATATTCGGGTTGCACTACGTGTTTGCTCAGCACGATGTCCGACTTCTCATTCCCTACGCGGAGATGTTTGTTTTAGTCGTTCCATCGGTCCTTGAAGAAGCTGCCAGCAGGTGGAGTAGAACGTCAGACAACATGGCGAGCAACACGAGCTACGACCCGAAAACACATCCGACAGCTGTGACGAGGATTGAGATCAATTGAGCGTGTTAGCTAAACAGATGGCAGCTTATTTTGCGTGAATGTACGCAGTGATTGTCCATTTAACTGAGGACTTTCATTACAAGCTTTTATAGACTTCTTTTGCAGAATTAAAATAAAGTAGCTTATTAAAGTTGCTTATAGTTATATTTATTTCTCGCTGAATGCTTAACGAGAAGGGTTCCAAGATAGACTCCAGATCAGTGGATGACTCAAGGCACAGTCTTTCGTGGTAGATAAAAATAAATACCACTTTGTGGGAAGTCAACAGTGGTTAGCCTGTATCGCCCCACTGACCTTCGTCAATAGAATACGATGTTTTTTTTTCACTGGCTTAGGCCTACCAATGGAGACAAGCGAGGCCCAGTTCTCATTAGAGAATAAAGACGGAGATTTGACCTCGCGTGGAACACAATTAAAGTAATCGGTTATTTAGCAAGCAGTTGAGAAATCAATGACTTCAAGCTCAGTGAATTTGCAAATACCAATGGCATAATTATGCTACACCTAAATTACACGTGTTTAAAGGTTTGAAATGACAGAAGGATGGAGGCCATGCCTTGCAATGTCATACGGCAAGTTATAGTTCTCTATTGAATGGCTGAGGCCTTATTATGAACCGTTTTGCAGGCTCGTTTGCATTGTCAAATCTTCATTGTTTGCCGAGGTCTCGTTCACATCTGCGGAGGAATCGAGCGGCCCACCGGCGAGCCCTTCAGTCTTGGTGAGCGGGACCCCGGTTTGAGCGCCGGCAGGCGCCGAACTCGGGCCACTCTGAGCGGGACGCTTACGGCCGCCACGCTTCGCGAAGCACAGGAACGTGGTGACCGTGACGATGAGCAGGCCAGCGAAAATGATGGCCACGAGAAGCCAGGGCTTCGAGTTTCGCTCCTCCGTCGCTCGCGCCGAGCCGGTCCCCTGCGGACGGCGATCGCGCTCGTACGTCACTGCAGGCCAAGTCGACGTCTCGCCGCCGGCGGTGTGTTCGTCGACATTAATTTCAGAGGTGACGGTAGCCACAGCCGCGTACGCGGACCTGCGGGTAGGCCTAACCGTGTACGCGGCCGTGTGGGTAGGCCCAACCGGGTACGCGGCCGTGTGGGTAGGCCTAACTGGGTACTCGGCCGGGCGCGTCATTTCCGTAAGAAGGCCGAGCTCCGTCGTCTCATTCTCATCCTCCGACAACTCGTTCAAGTCGGCGTACTCCGTCGCAGCCAACTCCACCTCGTCCTCGTCTTCTACAGCCGTCGCCGCAAAGATGGCAAAACCTTCCTTCGGAACACAACCGACGCCATCTTTCAACAGCGAGAAGCCTTCCTCGCACGAGCACTGGAAAGTGCCGGGCACGTTGAAGCAGGCCTGGGCGCACGGGCTCGACTCGCACTCGTCCACGTCGGTGCAGTTGGCGCCGTTCTCGTGCAGTGCAGTAGCCCGGGCCGCAGTAGCACTCCGGTTCGCCCCGCTGCGCTAGCCTGCACGCGTACTCGCACAGCTCGGCGCCGAGCGAGCACGGGTCGTAGTGCACGCAGTCGCGCTTGTTGCTCGCGTCCAGGGTGAAGCCATCGGCGCAGTAGCACGCGAATGAGCCTGGCGTGTTCTCGCAGAACTGCTCACACGGGAAGCCCTCGCACTCGTCGATGTCGGCGCAGGTGTGGCCCTCCAGCATCTCGAAGCCACGCTCGCACGCGCAGTGGTAGCTGCCCTCCGTGTTGATGCACCGCTGCTCGCACGGCAGCTCCCCATCGCCGCACTCGTCGACGTCGACGCAGCTGCGCTCGTCCTCTTCGTCCAGAAGGTAGCCCTGGATGCACTCGCAGCGATGGGCCCCCTCCTCCTCCTCCTCCTGGACGCACCGGTGCTCGCAGCCGCCGTTGTCCACGTCGCAGCCTGCCTTGTCCTCCGCGTCCTCCTCTGATGAAACCGGCAGGCTGACCAGTTCCTCCGCATCGTCGTCCTCAGAATCCTCGGAGGCTTCGAGCTCGCACGGGGGATCCAAGAACGCTCCGGTCCAACCAAATTCTTGATCCACGAGCTCGCACGTCACCTCAACGACCTTGTCGCTCCCCGCGCACACGACCGACCCAGTGCTGCCCTCCGGGTACATGCCGAAGTCCTGGTCCGTGACTCCGAAGGCCACCTGGTAGGTGATGGAGGCGCCTGCGCGCAGATGGAATGGCTCGCACATGCCCCTGTACGTGTACTTGCACACAAACATGGCCGGGGCGTTGCAGTTGCCGTCTTCCCACTTGAGGCTGGGGCTGCCGTCGGTTATCTCGGCCTGGGTGTAGCCAGCGGTTACGCACCTCTCAACGGTGCATGGACCGCCGGGCTCCTTGGCCCAGTTGGAGTAGGACGTTTCCTCGTCCCGGTAGAGCCAGTAAAATCCCCGCAGCGGCTTTTTGGGCGCGTAGCACTGACGCCTGTTGCGGCGGAGGCCGATCCACAGCTTCCGGGCGGGTGCGGCGCCAAGCTGGGCCTCCCGGTGCGTGTGGAAGTTGATGAGCAGCTCCTGCAGAAGAGAAGTCTCCTCGGTTGTCTTCATCGTCGTCAGCATTCCTCCACGGCCCTGGCACGCTTTGTGCGCTGCGAGGAACGCGACCCTTTCCAGGTGTAGCGAGTAGCAGGTCTGACCGTAGCAAAGAGAGTGAGCAATGTGTGGGCCTTGGGGTTGCTGTGCTGATGCAAGTGAAAGCAGCGATAGTATGACGACGAGCATTATGAAGCCGGCCGCTGTTTTGTTGAACGAGATGTTTCGTTGCAGAGTTGTGCTGCTACACCGCATCGTTTCGCTGCACGAGCACATGAGTACTCAGCCAGTTGTATTTCTCACTGAGGAATTTGGTGCGATTGTGTTAGAAATATTTTCCCATTCACGTCCTTTTGCCGTCTTCGAGCTTATGTTTCAAAGGTAGTCCAGACGGAAGATTTTCTGAACTTTGACAAACATTCCCCGGATCTGGAAACCTTGACTGGCAGCCTGACACACATACACGAACACAAAATAATTCTTCATTAGCTGGCACAGACTCACAGAAAATGCAATTAGTGAGAACTTAGACCAATACGGTATAGCAGGGATGAGAATCTGTTCCCTATCTCGGACTAAATAATATTTAACGTATGAGGTAAATGTTACTTACCAACAGGATTTTACTTAAGAAACGGGTTTAAGGAAGCCAGCTAGATGATCCAGGAGAATCTGAGAGGCAGTGGAAATCCAACGGTGGTCATACAGCTGCAAGGCCGAACATGAGCAATTTGAGTAGAACGTCTCATGCCGCTCCCAGATAACAGAACGAGACGTTGTGGTGGTGGTGGTGGTGGAGAGGGCCTTTGTTAAATGTGTATGGATACAGAACTTGCGTGACTTTGGATTCACAGTGGGTTTACAACACCAACCAAATCCAAACATGCATATATCATAATTGAAATGTAAATACATAAATATACATGGGTTTAGATAAATGGACAAGGCAGACGGAGCGAATAAATATACATAGATTAAGATAAATGGACAAGGCAGAAAGAGCTAACAGTATGGAGAGTGTATTTAAGAAGACTTCTTCACAATTCTGGATAATCGCCTGATGAAGCTGGTTGTAATCACCAGTGAAACGTCGTACTCGAATTGTAAACGTTGTGGGATTACTCTCCAACACACCGATTTTGCTGAAGAAAATAATTTGCACGTTTTGTTTACGTGACAAACCTTACTAATTCGCCACGTCGGATGGTGGCGGGTTTAAGGACGCATTTATATTTATGCGATCTAACCCAGAAAAACCTCTTATGGAAACTATTGTTCGCTAAAGCCTACTACTACTACCACCTGATTAAACTGAGTAAGAAAATGGGAAGCGGTGCCAGAAGATGGCGAATGAGAGGCAAACCTTACGCTGCCCTCTATGCCAAAATAAACATGATAAGGTTGTTTATAGCGAAATCCCAACCCGTCATACACTCAGAATAGAGAGTCGAGTCGTTTTTTGGAGATATTTTCAGATGTCTTCACATATAAGGTTGGTAAAATTGACCGGAGCAGAACTTGAGATGCACCTTAGAGACTCGGCCAAACCCAATAAGACCATATCCATATCTGGATGTGTCTACCTTGGTTAAGTGGGAAATAAAACAGGATGAAACAAGTTATAATGGAAATTTGTGGGAGATGAAGCTGATTCCAACTATTCCAGCGTCATTGTCCTGGTGAGAAAGCCAGATTTCTCAAATCGCTTACGTGTCAGCCTGCATTCGTCAAACCGGGTCATACAATTTGATGCAAAACTCAAGATGTATCAGAATAGGTTTGGCCAAAAGGCATCCTCTGGTCTAACACCGTTTGAGACGAGACTCAAAAGAAAGCTGTCTGGTGTGGACCAATCAGTTTCAAAGACAATGCATATATTATCAGTGTTTTTTTTGTTTGCATTCTGACCACAAGTATTGTGGTTAATGCAGACATGATTCCTTGTAAAATGTTTCAGTTTGGTGTTTTAACAACTTAACACCTGTTGCCAGATAAAAGGGGAAAAACCTCATATCATATTTTAGTACTGGCAAAGGAGGTCCCATGATCAAGATGTGTCGCTTGCGTTTTTGGGAATTGACCAATATTTCAACCAACTAGAGCTGAGCAGACCGACCAAACAGTGCTTAAGGGAATGCCATTTGGAGTAGCTGGTGATCTGGCTGCATTTAACCAGATGATGTTGAGACTATTGAATGGGATTACCATTGCTGATAATCACATTGCCATTATTTTGCACGCGGTATGATTTCCGCACGATTTGAGCCACGTCCATGACACGACCTCACAGCAAGGGCTAGACTTCAAGGAAACTCTCTACTCCTGATGCATATTGTTGGGGAGAGACCAATATGAGCTGACGGGGATAAAATGCCAAGGATCTTCCAAAATAGGGCATCTTCTGCCAAGAGCTATAACCATTCACAGACTTGGCTGGGTATCATGGAAAGCTCATCCCACGCTGTGCAAGATGCAGTCACTTCCTTCACTTGATCACTCAAGACCAACTGAACAAGGATGAATGGACTGCAGAAGCAAATGCGGTGTTTGAAAAGTTGAAAGCTGGTAAGGAAATTAAGCCGATCATTGAGTAACCAAATGAGGAAGATTTGGTTTTATTTTTGTTATTATTTTCGAGATGCACTCGTCTTGCGGAGCGATGCTTCAGACGCTCGCCTAGGTGCTGTGTCGATGCAAGAACGCGAAATGTGGAAGCAGAAAATAAATACTCGGTAAAAGTTCGCCAGAAGGAAAGTTACTTCCTCGCAAAATACTGTACGCTGCAATCGAGAATGATTTTTTTCTACTTGGCGTGGGTTGTGCAAACATTCCCAACGAGAAAGAATATAACCCTGAAACCTATCACAAACCGTTTAAGTTCTCGAAATAGGTTACAGATGGAGAATAACAGGGTGATACGCTGGTCATCAGCTCTGCAGCCGTACGACCGCAAGCCTTCTGTTCATCCCTAAGGCGGCTACAACACTGGGGTGTAGATGTCTCAGGAGTGTCGTGTAATGGTTAGCAGACTGGAATTGCAATCTAGAGAGATCGCTGGTTCTGCCTCCTGGCGCGGCAGCTCAGACAATGGTCCAAGTGTCTCTCTGTCCACTAAGCAGTCAATATGGGCCCAAGTGCGATGGGGTAAAGTGTGGATAATTTCAACTCTTCCAAATAATCTATAAACTATGTTTTTCTTTTTACTAGGTAAAACCCACTAAGCTATATAGCTATTTTTCAGACGCACCCTGGCCACAAATGATAGCTCAACGAAGTGGCTTGTCACGTGGCAATTTATATCAGTCAAATGTTGTAAACGCATGTTTCAAAAATGTGGAGGGAAAATCCACTGCGATCACGGGGAGAACACGCAAATTCCAAAAATACAGCAGCAGGCGTCAGGGTTGGGATCGAACCCACGACCTCCTGCACACCAGGCGAGGTAGTTAACATCTCGCCAACGACAAGTGTGGAAGAGGATGCCAAATACTCTCTAAGAGTGACTCTACAGCAGTGTTCTTCACTAATTTCCAGGGGGACGGGGCACCTTCGCCAATAAGACATCACCAGCGCGAGGGCCGCCACACGTTTGAAACAATTGTTGGGGTTTAACAGCAGCACGATGATGTGTATTGTCACGGGCCGAAACGTCAGGGGCGTGAGCAAGTACTTGCGGGGCTGCGCCTTTACCCCACCTGCACTTGCACGGCAGTGGCCAGTAGGAGGCGTAGGGATCGGAGCCCATGCAGAGCGGCGGGAGGGGAATTTCCGTCACTTCACTCTCGTGGAGGGATTTGGGGGGCGATGTGACGCCAACCCAGGCAAGTTTTACAAGCGGCGGCCACTGGTAACGCTTCGCGGCTTGCAATCTGGGAAGCTGAGTCCACGAACAACTGTGACGTCGTTTCTTTGTGTGTGTCTTTGGGTTATTACAACGTGAAATGAAAAGGGTCAGTATGATTAATTGTACGCATATAATTGAACAAATGTATCAGTGCCACTGACAATTAAGATGATTAAATGTGCTTGGGCAGTTACTCATCACTATACGGGGTCATATCTGTCAACCCCTTGTCAGTGCCCTACCTTATTACAGACCAATCCAGACCTTATTGGTCACCTCGTGCCCTTATAATTCTCAACGTTCATCCTGCAAAGTCCCATCACAAGGGAGAAACACAAATAAATAGACAAACCATTTTTTTTGCCCGTATTGAAACGGTTGTACGCCGTATGGACCTGAACACTGAATTTCCCTCTACAAGAATACGGGGTAAACCGTACGGGTTGACAGCTATGGAGACCGGTGGTGTGGTCAACGCGCCTGATCCTCCTCCCAGTGCTTGCATTAGAAGTGCAACGGAGCATCGTTGGCGAAATTGGCCCAAACAAAGGGCCCTTGCTCATCTATTGAGCGTGTTGTTTGTTGTTGTTGGGTGCGCGCCTTTGTTGTGACAGGGGGGAATGAGAGAGAGAGAGTGGCTGAGAGTGAGCGAGAATGAACGAGTGAATGCTCATTTGGTCCGGTGGGTCGGCAACCAAAAGAACAAGCGGAGCCTTTTCTTTCGAATTAGGTAAAAAAAAGCCCCTCAACATTTCAAGAGCCCACAATGCAGTGTGGCGGTGAACGCGAGACGCTGGTGGCCCCGAACGGACAACGCCACGGAGCGGCTCCTTGCAGAGCCGCGCGCCACTCCGGAGTAGCAGGCTGCAGACCCCTGGATGTCGCTCCAACGTGTCGCTTCTTTTGAGTAAAATAACAATAAAGACTGCTCGCTCATCACCCCGTACGCTGGCACCAATGGGTGACATTGACCAATGACAACATTTATCAATTGAAAAGCATCGATTCTTCACGTGCATCGTTTGATGCGTGTATGATTAAAGGATGCAATCGGCGAAACCGATTGAATAGTTACTGCCTACAAAGTCATTTCGTACTTCACGAATTTCGATTTGTTATAAGGCGGAGGTGAAAGAAACATCGCGTACGATGCAATGTGTAAATATGATGCCCGTTATATGAACCACATTGGAAGAGTAGAGAGGTTCAAATTTAGATGTTTGAGGCAGGAACTACGCCTGTGCTCTTGGCACGAGCCAGAGAGCTGGACTTTTAACAAAGCAACTCTGAATATTGGTAGATCCAGCGGATCAGGCCTGTCCCCAGCTCCTCTCGGATTTGGGGGGTGGGGGGGGTAACAGCTGTTGTGGGGAGCACCATGGCAGTAGTGCACGCTCAACAGAGTCGTGATCGTGAGTGGTCAAAGGGCCAAATGGTGGTGCTGGGCCCACCCATGCACCGCTCTGGTGCTGGTCCTGCAGGGGAGAAGGCCTTTGATTAGTGGTGCATACAGAGGATGCCTTTGAATAGTGGTGCATACAGAGGATGCCTTTGATTAGTGGTGCATACTGAGGATGCCTTTAATTAGTGGTGCATACAGAGGATGCCTTTGATTAGTGGTGCATACTGAGGATGCCTTTAATTAGTGGTGCATACAGAGGATGCCTTTGAATAGTGGTGCATACAGAGGATGCCTTTGAATAGTGGTGCATACAGAGAATGCCTTTGATTAGTGGTGCATACAGAGGATGCCTTTGATTAGTGGTGCATACAGAGGATGCCTTTGAATAGTGGTGCATACAGAGGATGCCTTTGAATAGTGGTGCATACAGAGGATGCCTTTGATTAGTGGTGCATACAGAGGATGCCTTTGAATAGTGGTGCATACAGAGGATGCCTTTGAATAGTGGTGCATACAGAGGATGCCTTTGGATAGTGGTGCATACAGAGAATGCCTTTGATTAGTGGTGCATACTGAGGATGCCTTTGAATAGTGGTGCATACAGAGAATGCCTTTGATTAGTGGTGCATACAGAGGATGCCTTTGATTAGTGGTGCATACAGAAGGTACTCGGAAGTCATTTGCAGGATGAGGCAGAGCAGCCCCGCAGGTCACGTGGGAAGTTTGTGGCGACGGGGACGGCGGTCGCCGAGCACGGATCCGAGGAGGCCCCAATGGGGGGGGGGGGGGGGCACGCGAGGGGCCACTGCAGTCGACGAGAAGGGGGGCGGG